AGTACAAGCAATATTGAACAGCATATTCATTTGCAGCTACCATTAATAAACTGCTGGATTATATTTACTGTATCAAACTAAGTTCGACGGCTTTTTCTTTTCAATAGCACCTTTGATGATGTTTAGAAGTCACCATCTCAGAACTAGTTTTTAATGTACTGATTGCTTAGTTGAATACGATTTTAAAAGAGTTCAGAAACTCTAAGTTTAGAAAAGAAGAAAATAAAGTACAGAGTAACAACTGAATATGAAAAACAAATGTTCTTAATACTATACACGGTGAGTTTCCAACTATTCAGAAGTAGAAAATGGCTTAGTCGACGAACAGCAGTAACTAATAAATGACTAAGCAAATAAAAAAACTCGTTCTAACTTTTGCAAAAAAAAGAAGCATTTTCAAATATACTTCCAGGACCGCACTTTACAGTGCGTAGAGAATCCGTCTTGTTAAATGTAGGGTGTTTTAATCACTTTCTAAAATCTCCTCAATCTACGGAAAGTTATGCAGCTGAGCAAAAAATAAGAACTGTATCAAATAACTGAAAGAACCAAAAAAGTTGATCAAAGAATGTTTTATAACCTAAAAAGATTCAGTTGAAGCACTTATTTCGTAAGCAGAGACTAAGAACTCCTAAGAAATTAGAACTTTTATTATCTTATTAGTTCGACAGGTCCCAACTTTCAGCAGTGTCTTCATTTTAGTTGGTTTGAAACAAAAATTTGATAAGCTCGAGACACCCATAACAGAATATATGACAGCATCTATTAAGCCTTTACACTGTGTTACCTAATTCAACAAAATTTTTTGAAAAGTTTGGTGATCGCAAAAGACTAAGCCAGCATTCATAGCTCCTACGTAACTGCCAACTTTCTCAGCAACGAGTTAAACCAATTTTGGGGTAAGAACTTTTTTAAGTCTGTGCTAAAATGATTCAAAAAAACAATAAAAAGTACAGAGATAGCTACCAAGTTGGTAAAAATTATTGATAAGTTTTCGCTTCAGTATTTCTGATTTTAATAGAGTATTTATGTAAACTATTTATAAGCTTCAATTCAAGCTATTAAATTGAAATATATAACAAGTTAAAGTCAAAAGTATTCTTGAAATGGCAATTCAAAGCTACTTTTGTTCCTCACACTCATAACGTAAAAAAGCTTATTTTTACTGATCTTTTTGAAGAGCACTTCGTTCTTGGTTTAGGTACCAACTAGCAGTCGTTAAGGTGTAAAGATACTAATAAAGAAATTTTGCACCATGGAAAAGTGACTTCGCTAAAAAAAATCGTTTAGAAGTACAGCAAACAAAAATTCCTTCGATGTAAAAATATACTCGTTCTCACTAGTCTAACAACGTGCAAAAGCTGCTTGATTGACGCTACAGAAAGTAAGAATTAGATATTTTATAAACAACTATATTTAACGTCTTACTAACTTTATAATTATAACAAAAAAAACTTAGATTTGTAACGTACAGAATACATGTTTTATCCTTTCAAATACCCACTCCTTAGTCTAAACTAAGCCAAATTGCAAAGCTTTTTCTTTATAAACAGTTACCACCAGGTCTCATTAAGAAAATTAATTTTTGAAAAGAAATCTTGATTGAACAGAACAGAATTTCTAGCTATTCTACTCAGAAAAAAAAAGAGAAGAAACAGAGAATCAGTTTCCTAATCTTTGTATTTTTTAAAAAATAACGCATTTGATCTAAATGTGTTAGAAAGAAAATTTACTTATCCGCTTCTTCTTTAAAAAGCAAGAGTTCAAAGAAGTCAAAAATTTTACAAAAGATTGGGAGATTTCTAACTTTTAAAATTTAAGAACAAAAGTCCAAGACTGCTAGATTCCTCTACAAAATCAGATAAATTTGTCAACAAATGAAAATTAACAACTAGTAACAAACTCTACCACAAAAACTGCACAAACACGTTGAGCTGTCTACTTTTCATATGAAAACCAAGTCTAAGCTTAATTTTATGTCAATCATTAAATGCTCGAATAAAAGTAGCAATCAAATATTTCAGAACCAAACAAAAAGAAAAATAAAATTCTCTTTCAGCGACATAAACAACAGTAAAAGCAGTGTATTAGTTGATTTCACATCTAACTTCTTTACCTGAAATCTTATTTGGAACTGAATGAAAAATGCTATATGAAAATGCAACCTTGCCCTTCGTTCCTCCCGCTCAACAGCCCTACCAGTTAAACCCTCGTTTGTGCGAGACCGTGTTTGCCGCCCCATACTTTCCCATTCTTCAATATTTTCAACATATTCTGCATGTGCTAAGGTAGACCCATGAGTTGGTAGACACTGCACTGTAATCGGTGCTCTCTGAAATCAAACTTACTTCAAAACCGTTAAATAAATTCAAGCAGGAATATTAGTCAGCAATATTGGTTTAGCCGTAAGTATTTATAAGAAAAAAAAGTTGAAAAATTTAGTCTAAATATAACTCAACAGCTTACATAAATAGGTAGATAACTGTCATCGACGTGAGTCTCTTTCGCCATCGATATCTGAAATAAACGAATGTAGTGAATGTAGTAGGTAGATTCCAGCATTACAAGCATTCACTTAATTAAAGAAGCGAAACAAATTTTTTTACATGTAACTGTGTAAAAAAAACATTCTGTTAAAGGATAAAAGCATAATTAAAAACGGGCCGCTATTTAAAAATCTTTGGAGTTAATCTTGAAGAAGTAGCGTAAAACTTCTGAAAAAAAAAAGAAACAAGATGTAGAATTTTGCCTCTTTGCTTATGTGTATTTACAGTTTTATGAACTTTCTCCTTGGTGCGACTGCGCAAAATAACTGGTTTTATAATCTGCTAGTTACATAATCTTTAGAAATGATGAAACCTTAAAAGAAGAAATCAACTGTGATGAACAAAATAAAGCTAAAACTCATGCGGCGAGAAGAAGAAATCTATACTTAGTAAGGAGGTACACGTGTTTACAAGCAGAAGCACCTGCTGGGTTATTATTCATTGCTTAAGCGTGCTAGAAGACTAGCTTCCATAAAGGAAAACCTCACTGTTTTTTTGACGACAACAACCAAAACCTCAATCGACTCAACGAACAAACAGCTATGCGGTCTTTGAAATAAAAGACAATCAGTAAAAGAAAAATAGTAAAATCTCTACTTAACAGTGTTGCATTTAAAAACTACTGATACAGCTAAGCAACAGCTTATACCGGAAATAAAGCAAACGTCATAGCTTGCCGTCATTTTGTTTTAACATATGAAAAAGAAAAATCACTATGAAAACCATAACTTTTACAATAGCTTCTACAGCACTTCAATGTTATACAAAAGTTAGCTGCTATTAGAAGTATTATTTTTTGTAAAAATCGATAAAACTCAAAAAAAAGCAAAATTAGATAATAAGTCTTATATCTTCTTTTTAGAACACTGATATATGATGTAAGATCAATATACAGTTTGAGTGAAAAAAAAAAACGATGAATAGAATCACAGAAGTAAGGGAAGTAAACCAAAGTAAAGAATGGTATTTTGCAAGATCATTTAAAAACTTCTCTGTTTTTAGGTGAATAGCTTTATATGTGCAGGGTAAAAATAAACTGGTGCTTTAAAAGCTTAGAGAATCAAAGCGCAGAACCCGGCAGTGCTTGATGATACTAAATCAACAATCATATAAAGGTACCATTTAGCAAGCAAATAAATGCGCAACAAAAAGAACGAAAGAGAAATGACAAAAATATTTAAAACCTCATGAACCTCGACTTGCATATAACCTCCACGTGGGTCGTTACTTGATTTTACCTAAAAATACCATAAATTTTTTAATGAAAACACTTATATTAAAAAAAAAATCAGTTATTACTATGCCGTTCACGAGACCCGACCAGCGGTTTGCTAAAGCAAAACCTGGTCAGTCAGTTGCTAAGTATGACAAAGCAACAAAATATAAACAGTTTAGAACAGTGAAGAAAACAACATACATAAAGCGTAGAGTATAGTGGCATGAACCTTTCAAAAGGTATCATCTATCATACAGACAAAAAAAAGTGGTATTTCTCAAACCTCAGTCCGTTCGATAACCATACGACTTCTACTTTGCGATCGAGACCGAGCGTGTTTTTCAATTTTCTCTTTTGATGCATAGTCGGAATGCTGCCGAGAGCTATGCGGCATCCTCCTTTTACCTTCAAAGTAAAGATGACAATAAGACTTTAATCAGGAAAAACAGACCAAAAAACGACTTGATTTTAATATACAGTATTAATTACAAACTAAGAAGAAAACGTTTGCTGATAAATAATCATCCAATTGTTAACTGTGCCATAAGATAAACCTATTAGCTTTATTGAATCTGCCGTGAAATTTTACAAATGAAATGCTCTCTAATCATATTAATTTTAAAACAACATTTGCACTGTCAATCACCAAAAAAAAAAAAAACAAAAAACAAAAAAAAAACTCATTTATAACGGACAAAAAGATTTGTGTTCAAAAGGAAAAATTAATAAATGCAGTTAGACCAGAAATGCATCAAATATCTTAAAAAAAGCAAAGTTATCTGAAACATCGGTGTTCTATTTCGGAAAAAAAAAAAAAATTTATGATGTTGCCGAACAGTTTTTCTGAAAGAGGTTAATATGTATTTTTTTAAAAATAGACTAATAAAATCAGCTGACAAGATAAAATAGAAACAGCAGAATAGAATACAATAAGCATATTAATACAAATTCTCACGTAGTTTACCAAAATTTTTTTTTCTTTTTAAGCAGTTGATAACTGTTTAGATAATCAACATAAAGCTGCAAATGATTACCTTTCAACCCCTTAAAACTTGAACACTAAAACAGTTATTCAAAAAAGTAATTAAACAGATGTGAGAAAGAATTGTAGTGTTGTTAACTGAAGATTAACAGACACTTAATGCGTTTACAGCTTAACAAAAAAAAAAACTGAAATCTCTGATCGAGAAAAAGATTATGAAGAGAATAGATTTAAAAGAACTGTACATTACCAATGTCTTCAAGCTGTTGTTGTGCTTTTAGTTTTTAAATAGAACAGTGAACAGCCTATGAAAAAAAAAAAATTCATGCTTGCAACTGCTTTATATCACTCCTACGATTTAGCTGCTACTGTTTCAAGTGAATATAGTAGCATCAAAAAGCAGAAATTTTAATAAGCGGTCAGCAAACGAAATGAAATGTATAACAACACTTTTTTACTTAATAATAACATAGAATTAAATAAAATTATAACCGCTTTTTTGCTACACTTTTAATTCTGTAAAGAAATCTCTGTTTTTTAATATGTATAAGCAAACCTTTTTTTTTTGGCAAAACTTTGATACAGGCCGTGCTGAAAAATTGAGTGTTTGAGAGTTATGTTTACTGCTCTTTGTTGATGTCCGAAAGCTGTGAGTATTGCTAAATCAATGGTATGCAGCTGTTCGGTTCCGACAAGAAAAAAAAAAAACAAAAGCTTTAGACTTCCAAGAACACTTCCGTCCCAAAAAAAAAAAAAAAAATTTAAGTTTGTGAAAACAGATGTAGAACGATAAATGAAAATAAAGATAGAAGCAAAAAAAAATAACTGAAAAAAAAAATTGACCAACTAACGTTGAAATGTATAAATTATGTTGCTAAACTTCTCCACTTGTTAAGAATTTACTGCTTGTTAACTGTTTAACAAATCTATTATTAACTTATTTATTTGATTTTAATAAAACTGTTTTATAAGTTTTACACTTTTTATACATTAATTTATCTTTTACATCTTATTAAAGCTCATCTTTCAAGCAGAAGATTAAGTTTTTCGAAAAAAAAAAGCTAAAATATGTGAAGTAATGGTACAGAACTAAATACAAACATTACTCCCTTCTTTATGCCTCATCAATTTGTAAAATAACTTTTAAGAACAGCCAAGAATAATCTGTCTAAAAATTTTAGACAGATTTTTGAATCAAAAATCATTGCGGTAAATTAGATCAGTGAAAAAATAAATGAATTTTTTTAATTTAAAAACGTTCAAAAAAAAAAAAATCTGAATCATTTATAAAAATGTTTAAAATTACGCTGTCTGAGACACTGATACTTAAAGATAAATAGTTTAATAAACCCTTAAAAAATGTTTATGAGTAGTCTTCTTCCTACAAAAAAAAAAAAAAAAAACTTATTCTGAAAGAGAATTAATGGTGAACAGTGCTCAGATGATTGTAAAAACTGGTTAAAACTATGTGTAGCAAAAGTTAAACATTTGTTTAAAGTTTCAACACTTCGGGTGAACTATGAATCTTTTTTCTAGTCAAAAAAAACACTTATCTTACCCAAAGTCTGTTCAATTCTTTCAAAAAATCTTAGATCTGACAAACGTCTAAAGGTGATGAGTCATATTCAAAGATCACTATTAAGACTTTAAATAATAAATCCGTTCAAATGGCATAGTAAAAACTCAAAAAAGAAAAAAAAGAAGAAAACCAAGCTTTTTTTTACCTGCAAAAAGAAAAAAAAAAAACAGCATATCGAAAATGTCAAAACAGAAAAAAAAACTGTTTTTTTAAATTTATAGAATTTCAGACGTTGAAGGAAAGGTTTAAAAAATAAATAAATAAACAAATAAGAAATTTGTAGGGGTGACGTTTACTGCACAACAAAGTCGAACATATTCAAAAGTACACAGAATTAAACAGAGAAGTGGGAAAAGAGGGCTGATTGCAAATAGCCAAAAACTCATACAATCAATCCCAGTTTTTACCTTTTTTTTACCGGTTTTTTACGTTTACATACGCAGCATAAAAATTTCTCTGTTTCAGTATTTTCGCTCCGCTAATCTTGCAAAGTTTTTTGTTCGTAACTTTATTTGAATTAGGTTCACAATCCAGTTTTTCTGCGTTGAAAGGTGTTTAGTGATAGGCAAATACAAAATATCCTTTGCTTAGCAGTAATCAACGCTTAGAACTTTTTGAGCTGACTAGGATTTTATTATCTAAAAATTTTGCTATTAGACTAAAGTGATTTCTAATATCCAAGAACATTTTTACTGCTCAACGGGTTGTAAGCTAAAGCTATTTAATAAATTAGAAAAAAAGTTTCTTTTTTTTTACTGAATTAAGTTGTACAAAAAATAAAATAAAATAAAATAAACAAATGTTTGACAAATGAGTTGTAATCAAATTAACCAAATCACTTCTTTTCTACCCAACGTTTCTTAACAAAAATTTTCAACTTTTTCTAACATTTAGCAAAAACACTATTTCAGAAGAGGTAAGTGGTTCGAAAAGCTAACACTGGTAATAACTTATGACAATTTTACCAGAAATTTTTGTCATAACTATTTATATTTGCAAAAAAGTGCATTTTCATAATAATAATAATAATAATAATAATAATAATAATAATAATGTATACAATAAATACTCACATACGCGTAATCACACATATATATATATATATATATATATATAGGCAAATGTAGACAGACAGACAGACAGACAAACAAACAGGCAGACAGGCGAACAGACAGACAGACAGACAGACAGATAGACAGACAAACAAACATAGACACAGACACACAGATACATATAAATACAGACGGCATTCATTGGTATTGGCTCAGGTAACTGGACCGTATTTAGTTCAGAAGTTTCAGTTGAATTATTTTCGTTTGTATTATAAAGATTTATATTTAACTCATTTCGTCTGTTTCAGTAACAGTCAAAAATATTCAAACTGTTTTATAATAAAAAAAAAATAGCTCACGCTGACGCGCAGAATGCCAAATTCAATCAACACTCTCGAACGTTTTTTTTTTGCGATTCAATAACCAATCTTTCATCTGACAACTTTTTTTTTTTTTGCAGCACTGATTCACAAACTTTATACAGAAATTCCTTTTCTGTTCAAATTTACAAAGAACAGAACCACACAAAGAATTTTTTTTTTTTTTAGGTAGTGTAGAACTGACAAAATAGTTATTGAAACTGCAAAAAAGCATACATACAAAACGAACATAAATTTGAGGTACGGATAAACAGTGACAACAAAAATGCATAGAGAAACAGAAACCAGTTAGAGCAAACCACTCATCAAATAGTAAAAACAAAATGCTATCTGGTACCATAAACAAGTAGTTTACCTCCAATACATCGATTTCACATTATCTAAGTCCAACAAGTATGATAAAGTAAATTGTAAAAAGTGCCCATTTTAAAATCTGTTACTCTACTTTCATTTCGTATCTTCTATGCTTTTTCAAACGGAAAAACATGAAAAAGGAACCTCAAAAGACTAGAAACCTACAAGTTTTGTAAATTAGATCAGAGATGACTAGCCCCGTTGCATATTTATAAAAAATTAGGTTTCAGAAAAACTTTAGGAAAATTTTGGTTTGTAAAAATAGATGAATAAAAAGTTTGAGGTTTTTTTTGTTTTACATACTACAGTTGCTTTAAATGCCAGCAATTTTCACTGCCAAGTAATCTAAAATAAAGCGCTCAAGGTAAGACTAAGATAAACGACTTCTTCTGCTTTACACTAAAAGTTTACCAATCAAAGGAATTTGAATAAATGCAAAAAAAAAAAACTTGTTAAACCAAAACGGCTTAGTAGGGTATTGGACAGTACCAATTGAATTATAATCTGCCGAGAGAAAAAATATTGAAAAGCGCTCAGAAGATTGGGCAAGCAAAAGGCGATTAAGTGAACACTACAATAAAGGCATAAAAATGAACGAATTGTTCTTCCTCTCCACCGTTCTAATTTGTCAGCTTTTTTGATGTAACAATAAGATTTGGGTATAGCGGAAATAAATCGTGAGTCTTCAAGCTTGTTGCCTGCCAACGTTGCAACTGCATTCAATTTGACTATCAAATCAAAAACGAAAGGGAGAGGAAAAAATTTCAGCCACAGAATGCAAACAGTTAATTCATGAATCCTGATAGTTGAGCAATGTAATGTGCATCACCAAACAACAGACAATCAAAGCAACATGTAAATAGCCTGTCTTATAACATTTTTCAGCTGCAAATCCTTAGACAAAGCAGAATTATTTTTTTTGAAATTTTCTTGTTTAGATATAGATAAAAACAGTCAGCCAATTAACACTTTTTATAACAACAAATTGCTGAAACTTTCAAGGTAATACTAAAAATGCAGATACTATTGCTGTGATTATTGTCAATA